CCCCCCACACACACACACACACACACACACACTTTTTTTCAACCGAAGCAGAAAAACAGGGACCCGTGTCGCCACCCCCCGCGTCCCCCAATTTCAAAATGGTGATTACGCCCTTGGTTTAAACTGATGTTCAAAGTCTTCAGAATATTTTAAACTTTTATGGTCACAAACAAAATCACACGTTTATTTTGAAAACATTTGATCAATTTCCGGAAAGTTCTTGGAGAAAAACAGTGAGCTTCACCTTCCTGCACAAGCGCGCTCACTATCGGTTTCTTCAGGACACAAAGATATTTCATAAACCTTAACCACAAGTTCAGAAAGAAACTCTTATCAATTTAATCCCTTTATACAAAAAACATTTTCTACTAAAATCCCACCTATAGAGAGGCAAAGGTAGGTAAAAGTAGAAAAAAGTATAGAAAATGAGTTTTGGACTTTGACCCTATTTGCCAAAGATCTACTGATTAACTAAAGAATGTGTCTCTGTGCGCCCATTAAAAAAAATTATCTATTTTTTTAACAACCAGAAGAAGTAAAAGACTAACACGAGACAAATAGGGCAAAATCGATGCTTTATTCTGAAAACTACAAAGCTGGAAAAAAACAAGCCTTCAAATGACAATAAGATTGTGTCATAATTGATTAAATAAGAAGAAAGATTAATGAGAAAAGTTAAAATACCCATCCACAGCAGGACGATGGCAATACAAAAACAGCACACAAGTATAGGTGATTTTTTTTTTTTTTGGCAAAATCCACAGCCCTCCATCAGAGGGAACAGTCTTATCTCTGGCACACAACACATTATGCATCAGCTATTTCATGTAACCAAGATCAATGTTACACCCTGTTCATTGCAAAACTGAGAACACACACGCACACACACACACACACACACACACACACTGCATGTGAGCAATGAAGAGCTTTTTGTTGAGGATGCATATTGCACGATTAAAAAAACAAAAAAAACAAATGGTGGACGACAACAAATATGTACATCCCTGAAATAAACAACAAACTCAAACTGCATGGATAGAACGATGACATTCTGTGTGCTAACGTGTGTTAGCATAGTGCCGCGGAATAATTCATCACACTGTCATCAGTCTGCCAGGCTCACCACTCTGTCACATCAAAACAACTCCAGCTGAAATCCATCACATCATCGCTGTCATGTTGTTTCTCACACGTATTAATTTGTTATTCTATGAGAATATAAGGATCTTCCTATAAATCTGATTAATGGCTTACAGATTTCAGAACATCTCATCTGACACAACATAATACTTAATGTGTTCTTAGTTGTTGGAGCTGCAGCTACGTACATAAATATTATAAAGTTTCTAAGAAGAGATGCCTCGTGGCACCTTGGTGAAAGGGTTCAAGAGTTCCTTATTTCCTGTACAGGAACCCGACCGATCAATATTTACAGCATGATTATTAACCTGTTGATCACAGCTTAAGTGCGGTCTTGGCTTTCTCCTTCACTGCCTTGCAAGTTGGCGCACAGTGGAAAAAAAAAAAAAAGAACGATGTTTGACATCAGCAACGAACCATCCTTACAATCAAAGGCCCGAGTAGAAAAAAAAGGTAAAAAGGGGAATTTAAAACTCGTAATCCTTCTCGGCCATGTCGATCGCCCAGGCAAACTTCTCCCTCTGCGTCTTATTGTAGATCTTCTCAATAGGAACGCCCCACTTCTTACACCTGGACAGAGCGGACAAGGAAACAGATTCAGCAAGAAAAAGAGGACAGAACTGAGGTCTAAAGAAAGTGCAAAACCTCCCAAATTACAGTCAAATCAGATTTCACCGTGTTTGTGTTGTAAGTTATTTTGATCCATTTTAATTCGTTTTGCCAAAAAAAATTACAAATAATAATAAAAATAAACCTTTTGGTCAGTATTTAATAACCTGAGTGGACAGATTTACAGAGAAAAATATAAATGCTCTTTAACTTTTAGTGATCATTTTAATATATATATATWTTTTTGCACATGAAAACAACACAATACTTTTTGAGGACTTTGGCTCTGGAGATAAAATCTTTCAGTTCAAACAAAATCTAATTCTGATTTATTATATGCTATAAATACAATAAACCACACCATCAAAAAATGGTCTTAAGACTGGTCTCAGGACCAAGAATGGTCTCGGGTACTACTAACAATTAAAGACATTTACAGTAAAAACCTGGTACATACAGACATTAGCTGT